AGGCAACTGATCAGTGATTCTTATCATTAATGTTTCTGTCTTTTTCTTCCTCTTCTTTTCTCTCTGAAATCAATCAAATATATATATATATATATATATATATATATATATATATATATATATATATATAGTTTTTTTTAAGAAAGAGAAAGAAATGGGTTTGATTTACAGCTAGCTGACTGTTTCTACTTTATTTTAGTCTGTTCTTAAGCTACAGGTAATTATAAAAAAAATTAAAAAATGGAAAACATTTTAAAAATATGTTAATTTTTAAAAAACTCATTCCAGAATCTACCATGTAGAAATAGCCATTACTACTAAATGATAAACATTTGAAATGTTTTTTTTCTGTATAGAGATAAAAAAGATGGTTTAATAGATAAAAATTATTTTGTTAAAATCATGTAATGCTATAAAAAATTTAAAATATCAAGACCAGATTTACTTGGCTATATAGAAGAAAAATAATGTGAAGTAAAATAGCATTGTTTAGCTTCAAATAAAATTTTCTTAACAAAAGAAAATTTATATATATATTTTCTTAAATACATATATCTTTAAATTGGATATTAGAGGTTACAAAAAACAAACAAACAACAAAAAACATTGAGAGGCCCTAACATTGAGGGCATCAGCCTGCGGACTGAAGGGTCCCAGGTTTGATGCTGGTCAAGGGCATGCAGCTTAGTTGTGGGCACATCCCCAGTAGGAGGTGTGCAGGAGGCAGCTGATAGATGTTTCTCTCTCATCAGTGTTTCTCATCAGTGTTTCTCTATCCCGCTCCCTTCCTCTCTGTTAAAAAAAACAACACCAAACCCACAATAAAACATATTTTTTTAAGAAGTTCAGAGGCTAGGGTTTTCTAATATTGGTTAATTTAACAATAAGTAATGCAACTTAGGTACACTCATGCTCACCTCTGAGCTGGAGTACGGGGCTACTTTTATGAGGATATCAGAGGGTAATTAGCTAAAGAAACCCAGGGACTTTGTCTACAAGAAGGGATTTGTGTGTAATTACTGTTTGGTAGCAAATTTATGTTTTGTTTTAACTACATGCTTCAAAATCAATATTGATTTCCTGCTATGAAAGACTAATAGTATCCCCATGCTCCTTTGGTTTCCTGCTATCCAATTTGTCCGTTTTTAAAGACATTTGCTTTATGTTTTTCAGACTTTTGACATTGTATTATATAAATATAATCCTTAGAATTAATTAGGCATTTGTTCTGTATTTAGTTTAAATTTGTTAGATGGTCACTGTGACTACCACTCCTTTTTACCACATCTTCTCCACTGAGTTCTTTATATCATCTCTTAAATTGGCTCAGTTTTATTGTCAAGTAATTTTTTTCAAGAATAAGATATTAAGAGCTGTATTGTCTGAGCTTTTTCATAATGGAAAGTGATTCCTTCTTGCTTTAATTTTCAGATTATGTCTTGCTGTATATAATATCATTGAGTTAAATTTTTTCCTCCTTTGGATTTAAACTGGGTCTGAAATATTGCTAGGGAGAGGACTAAGCCCAATCTCTCCTTTTCCTCCCTTACACATACTTTTTACCTTTTGCATTCTATTAAGTTTAACGCCAATAATTCCACTGTTAAACATAATAATTTTTCAGAATGCATGTTTTTTCAATTTTTGTTTTGTGGCCTTTTACAAAAGTTTGAATACATCTTCAGTTCCCCGTTTATTAAATTTGCTACTGTAGGGGAACAAATTATTCTTATGTTTGTTTTGTTTTCTTGCTCCTTTTTAAAAAATCCTCACCTGCGGTAGATATGTTTTTATTGATTTTAGAAAAAGAGGAAAAAAGAGAGCAAGAGAGAGAAACATTGATGTGAAAGAGAAACATTGATTAGTTGCCTTCCATACTTACGTGCCCTGACCGGGGATCAACCCCACAACCTAGTTGTGTGTCCTGCCTAGGAATTGAACTGACATCCTTTTTGGTGTACAGGATGATGTTCCCACCCACTTACCACTGGCCAGGGCTACCTTTGTTTTTTTTTTTGTAGTTCCACTCTAACTGTTTTAATGTCTGCTGTTTTTTTCAGCAATATATATTCTTTTTCTTGCTGTTTTCTTGCTTTTAAATTACTTTGGTTCTGCATGTCCCAACATATTTTTTGGTTTTTGTTATTTTAACTGTTCTTTGTTTATCATCTTCTTTTTTATTTATTTGTACTTAAGTTTGAATAATTAAGTTTCATTTCACCTGGCCAGTTTTGAGAAATAACTTTATGCTGAGTTATATCTACTCTTAGATTGAGATGATTATCTTATTCATGCAATGCTTTTTATATTGTTTATTTTGGGTGTGTAGTTTCTTTGCCATGCCTCTTTTTGTCGTCTTGTTCATGCTTGGGAGGCTCTCTAGACATTTACTGTACTGTAATTTAATTAATTTCTTATAATAAACCTATGTGGGAAAGGAAGAAACTTTCATTTTGCCCACAGGATTCTTTCAGCTAGTCTAAGAATTAAAAAAGTATGTGACATTAGCAAGAGAAAATAATCAAGTTTAATACATAGGTATGTATGGGAACCACTTATACATGTGAGAGTATACATCCCACATGAATAGTAAAGGGAAATGAGTATATAAGACATTTTGAACCAGAGATAGGTAAGGTGCTTTGGAGTCTTCAAAGGATCATTGCAGGCTAAGAAGAATAGATGTTAAGAAATAGAAGTTTACCTTGCCCTTTAGATAGGTCAAAAGAGTTTATCTCTAATAATCTTCTGTTAGGGACAAGACTTTTAATTAAAGATCTTCTAGGTAGTTAAGGGAGGGGCAGAAGTTTCTCTTGAGCCAGATGTTAAAGTTGTCTTTAGCTCAATATAGTCTACATACCAGAGGCACATCTTGGGGTGACTTATTCTCAATCCCCACACCTTCCTTTTCTTTTTCTGATTTTTTACTCTAGAAAACATAGAAAAGTCTTTCTTTTTAAAAAGTTAGATTATTAAGATATTTTCTCCTACCTTTTAGATTATTTTAAATTTTATTTGACTCTTTAAAATAATCATTCTGGATTTTATTTTGTATAAGTTAATTTTCCCCAAATTACTAACCAGTTTTTCTAGTACCTTTATTAAATAATTTCTGTCTTTCCCTGATTCAGTCTTTCCCTGGAATCCTTTCATGTCGTATAGTAAATATATATTTATATTTAATTGAGTCTTTTCCTGAAATTTCCTTTTGTTTTAAAAAATATATTTTTTATTGATTTCAGAGAGGGAGAGATAGATAGAAACATCATTGATGAGAGAGAATCATTGACTGGCTGCCTCCTGCACGCACCACACTGGGAATCAAGCCCATAACACGGGCATATGCCCTGACTAGGAATTGAACCATGACCTCCGGGTTCAACTATTGAGCCACACTGGCTGGGCTCAGAGTACATTTCTTGATGTATCATACAGACCAGAATTTTGAAGTATTCCATGATGACTTACATGAAATTACATTCTCACACATTTATATATGCGTGCTTTCTTTGCCTTTTATTCTCATGTGCTTTTCAAGTATTTAGAGTTTGTTTACCTTGTTATTTAGGGTGATTCATTATTAAATTATCCCAGCTCTTGTATCCTTTCAGAATAAAACCAATATGGGAAGTAGAAAATGAATAAAGGTAGAAAAGGTTCCTTTATTATCTTTATGGGAGAAAAATATTGACATAGAACTTAATAGACCAGGAACATTTGAATTCATATGTATAAATTATATTATATAATTTATTTACTATTTGGTGAATACAAAAATAGCCCAACAAAACCTAATGTGTGTTACTTTTAATTAGTACTTTCTTTAAATCCCATGACACATTTGTGAATTCTAGTCTTGTTTTGCTTATATACTGTTGGTTGATAAAACACCCAACAAGTTTTAGTTGCTTAGCAGGAACAATTAATGTTTTCCCCATGTGATAACAGCTAGATTTATTCATGAGACTACATTCAGCTCGTTAGGTGGTTCAAGATAATCTTTTACACATGTCTGGGCCTAGATGGTGCTGGCTGTGAGCTGGGATACCTTAGAATGTAGGCTTCATTCTCCACTTGGTCTACCAGGAGAGTATGTTAAGACTTAAAGGAAAAGCAGCAAACCATAACTTTAAATTATTTTTGTTAGTGATAACTAAATCATCCTTTTTCTGAATAAGCCTAGAAAGATTTCTTGTCCTCATTCTAGTTTGTGGGCCATAGAATTTAACACATGTGGATGGAGAACCTGAAACTATTCTAATGCAAAAATGCATGTCAAAGTGCTATGTAAATTTTAAAGTTCTATTTATAGGTGATACATAAAAGTATTTTGTTTTTAATTAGGAAAAAAATGAAATAGTTTGCCAGATATAAACATAGGAAATAATTGTAGACTTCAGTTGCTTATATTTTATCTTGTTCAAGGAAAAGGAAGCTGAAGTCACTTTAAATAACTTATAGTAGTATTATTATACTAAAGGTCCGGTGCATAAAATTTATTCACTGGAGGAGAGAGGATCTCCCCCTCAGCCCAGCCTGCACCCTCTCACAGTCTGGGAGACCTCGGGGGATGTCCAGCTGCTGGCTTAGGACCGTTCCCCAGGGGGAGTGGGCCTAAATCGGCAATCAAACATCCTTAGCACTGCCATGGAGTTGGGAGAAGCTCCTGCTGCTGCACTCACCAACCCTGAGCCCAGCTTCTGGCATTGAAGGGGCAGCTCCTGTATTGAGCATCTGCTCCCTGGTGGTCAGTGCATGTCATAGTGACAAGTTGTTCTGCTGTTTGGTCGATTTGCATATTAGCCTTTTATAATATAGGATCTTTATATATAGTAATGCTATTATGTAAATATACTATGATCTTGTTAATATATGAAATAATATCATTGGAAGTTATTTTATAGTTTCTGACAATTATTTAACATTACTAAACAATTATTTTAAAAAATCTCATCTTGTATATGTTATTTAAATTGGATTTTACTTCTATTCTTTTTTAGAAATATAAGGAAAAAGACAAACACAAACAAAAACATAAGAAGCAACCAGAACCATCACCTGCATTGGTTCCTTCTTTGACTGTTACTACAGAAAAAGTAAGTTTTTTATTTTATTTATTTTTATTTTATTATTATTTTTTAAAATATATTTTATTGATTTTTTTACAGAGAGGAGGAGAGAGGGATAGAGAGCTAGAAACGTCGATAAGAGAGGAACATCAACCAGCTGCCTCTTGCACACCCCCTACTGGGGATGTGCCCGCAACCAATGTACATGCCCTTGACCAGAATCGAACCTGGGACCTTTCAGTCCGCAGACCGACGCTGTACCACTGAGCCAAACCTGTTTTGGCTATTTTTATTTTTTATTTTTTTTATTTATGTGAGCGCCTCTGGGACTGCCTTTCGCTGCTCCCCTGAGTTTCCGCTTTATAGCCCAGACTCCCTCCGTATGAGCCTGGGTCCCCAAGATCTGGCCTAGAACTGGGGTTCAGTGCAGTCAGAGCTGGGGCTCAGCAAAGTCCAGACTTTTTGTCTCCTTCCCGCTTGGGCAATCTAGCAGCAGAGTCAACAGTTGGTCCTTTGAGCGCAATGTGCGTGCCTCTGGGACTGCCTTTCGCCACTCCCCTGAGTTTCAAAGCTGAGGCGGAGTTTCAGGGTGGAGCCTACAGACTTCCCTCTTATGAGCCTGGGTCCCCAGGGTCTCGCCCAGAACTAGGGTTCAGTGCTGTCAGAACTGGGGTTCAGCACAGTCCAGAACTTTTATCTCCTTCCCACTAGGGAACACCAGCCCAGCCAGGCACTCAGCCTCCTTCCTCTCCAGCTCCGTCCTCTCCCCACACAGAGCTTAGGCTTTTGCAGCTCCTTTGATTTTGCTTCTGTTTTCTCTTTCCTTCTAGTTGTAGAATTTCCAATCAGTCAACTTTCCTGTAGTTCTGGGTAATGTCCATTTTGTATTTTAGTTGTATTTTCTTGAAATTGTTGGGTGAGGCTGCAGTTAGGTGTTTACCTATGCTGCTATCTTGGTTTCTCTCTCTGATGTGATTATTTTTGTATTTAAAATTTTTATATGATGTATTTTGTTTATTGATTTTCAAATATTGTACAAGTCTTACATCCCTGGAGTGAATCCCACCTGATAATGGTGTATGATCTTTTTAATATATTGGTGGATCTGATTTGCTAATATTTTTGTTTCTATCTTCTAGCATCTATCTTCATCAGGGATATTGACCTGTAATTCACTTTCTTTGTAATGATTTTATTTGTTTTTGGAATTAGGATTATGCTGTCCTCATAAAAAGAGATTGCAACTATTCCTTTTGTATATTTTGCAATAGTTTCAGGAGGATAAGTGTTCCATGAAGGTTCTTGGGAAGCTATCAGGACCAGGGCTTCTGTTTGCTGGTAGTTTGTTTGTTTGTTTGTTTGTTTATTTATTTATTTATTTATTTATTTATTTAATATTCTTATTTTATATCAGTTGTTAGTGGCCTAATTAGATTTTCTGATTCTTCTGATTCAATTTTCAAAGAGTGTGTGTGTGTTTGTGTGTGTGTGTGTGTTTTAGGAATTTGTCCATATTGTTCAGCTTGTTGGTATATAGTTGTTCATAGTATTTTCTTACAAACCTTTGTATTTCTGTGGTGTCATTTGTTACTTCACCGCTTTCTTTTCTGATATTATTTCATTGGATCCTCTCTCCTTGTTTCTTGATTAGCTTGGCTAATGGTTCATCAATTTCTTTTATCTTTTCAAGAAACAAGCTCTTGCTTTAATTGATTTTTTTTATTTTGTGTTTTTAGCCTCTCTGTAATTTATTTCTGCTCTAATTTTTATTCTTTCCTTCCTTCTACTTACCTTGAGTTTTTATTATAGCTCTCTAATTCTTAAATAATTTATTTATTTATTTTTTTATTTTTTTTTACTGTTTTCAGAAAGGAAGGGAAAAGGAGAGAGACAGAAACATCAATGATGAGAAAGAATCATTGATCAGCTGCCTCCTGCACACCCCCAACCAGGGATGAAGCCTGAAACCCAGACATGTGCCCCTATCAGTAATAGAACTGTGGCCTCCTGGTTCATTAGGTCAGTGTTCCCACCACCGAGCCATGGGGCTAGGCCTCTTTCTAATTGTTTAAGTTGTTGGGTGAAATAGTTTATTATGAGTTTTTATTGGTTTTTTGAGTTTGGCCTATAGTGCTATGAAATTCCTTTTTGGATTGCTTTCCCTGTGTCCCATCGATTTTGTGTTGTATTCATTTTTATTTATTTATTTCCAGCAAGTTTTTAATTTTCTTGATCTTACTGACAACTTGTTTTTTATTCAATAACATGCAAATTAGCCTCTATGTATTTGAATATTTTTGAGGGTTTTTTTTTTTTTTTTTTTTTTTTTTTTTTTTTTTTTTTTTTTACTGTAGTTGATTTCTAATTTCATTCCATTGTGATCTGAGAAGGTGCTTGATATGATTTCAATCTTTAACTTTTAGAGACTTGTTTTGTGTTCTAATGTGGGTTCTATCTTTGAGAATGCCCCATGTACACTATTCTGCAGCTTTGGGGTGAAATGTTCTATAAATGTCAATTAAATCTATCAGTTCCAGTGTATCATATAGAATATCTGTTTCTTTGTTAAATTTTTGTCTGGAAGGTATATCCAGTGAAGTCAGTGGGGTGTAAAAGTCCCTTGCTATGACTGTATTGCTGTAGATCTCTCCCTTAAAGTCCTCCAGAAGTTCAAAAAATATATATTTAGGTGCTCCTATTTTGGGTGCATATTTGTTTACCTGAGTTATATCGTCTTGTTGGCTTGATCCCTTTAGTATTATATAGTGATCTTTGTTGTCTCTTGCTATGGTCTTCATTTTGAAGTCACTTCAGCTTTTTTTGTTTGTTTCCATTTGCATGGAAAAATACTTTTCATCCTTTACACTTTCATCCTGTGTGAATCTTTTGTTCTGAGGTGGGTTTCTTGTAGATAGCATATATTTGGATCATGTTTTTGTATCCATTCAGCTACCCTCTATGTCTTTTGATTGGGACTTTAATCCATTTAAATTTTTTATTATTGATAGGAACTTACTTATTCCTACTTTATTTTTTTTATTTTTATTTTTTTTAAATCAATCTTTATTGTTCATATTATTACAAAGGTTCCTCATTTCTTCCCCCCTCCACCAGGTTCTCACCCCACTCTCCACCCCCTCCCCATCCCCCATTGTCCTCATCCATAGGTGCACAGTTTATGTTCAGTCTCTTCTTCCCTCCCTTTCCCCAATAGTAAATCCCTTTTCAGATAGTAAATCAGTTACTTAGCATTTTCTCATATCAATAATACCTCTACATGCCCAATGATACACTTCACACAAAAGACATTTCCCAATAGGTCAACTAGCCTCATCCAGGCCCCACCCAAGGCACTCACAGATCAACACCCCAGCCCTATACTAACTCAACACATCCAGATCTAAGCCTTCATCACTTGATTCAGCAGACCCTCAAGTTCCCACGAACGTTTCCAGCCATGTCTGAGAGGCAGCCGTGGGGCGGGGGCAGGCGAGGAGCGAGCTGTTCTGGGCCTGGCTGCTCAGGGCCTGGCCTCTGTTGCTCTGGATTGTTCCACAACCAGCTGTTCCGGGTCTGGTCACTGCCGCTCCCGACCTAGTTGCTCTGGACTTGGCTGCTGCTGCTCCGGGCCTGGCCGCTCCCAGCCTGGCAGCCGCTGCTCCAGGCCTGGCCGTACCCGACCCGGCTATTCCTACTTTAATTCTGTATTCCTACTCTCTTTATTTCTTCTTTTCATTTCACATTCCCTTTAGCATTTTTTAGGGTGCTGTTTTAGTGAAACTTATTCAGTCTTTATTGTTGTTGTCTGGGAAGTTCTTTATATCACCATCTATTTTGAATGATAGCCGTGTGGATATAGTAATCTTGGTTTCAGATACTTGCTTTTCTTTACCTGGAATACTTCATATGATTTGCTTCTGGCCTGTAGAATTTATGATGAGAAATCAGTTGACAGCCTTATGGGAGCTGTTTTATAAGTAACAAATTGCTTTTCTCTTGCTATCTTTAAGATTCTTTTTTTTTTTTTGTCATTAATTTTTGGCATTTTAATTATGATGTGTCTGGGCATGGGCCTGTTTGGGTGCTTGTTTGGGACTCTCTATACCTCCTGAACTTGTGTTACTTTTTCCTTTACCAGTTTAGGAGAGTGTTGTGTCCTTATTTCTTCAAATACATTACCTATCCCTTGCTCATTTTCTTCTCCTTTTGACATTCTTATGATGTGAATATTCTTATGTTTCATGTTGTCCCACAGCTCCCTTAAAGCTGTCCTCCTGTTTCTGTTGTTGTTTTTTAATATATATATATATATTTTAATTTATTTTTTATTTTTTTATTTTTTTATTTTATAAAGGGAGAGTGAGAGACAGATAGAACCTACATTGATGAGAGAGAATCATTGACTGGCTGCCTCTTGCACGTCCCCTCCTGGGGATCAAGCCTACAATTCAGGCATGTGCCCTTAACCGAACTGAACCTGGGACCCTTTAGTCCAAAGACTGATGCTCCATCCACTGAGCCTAATTGGTTATGGCTGTCGTCCTGTTTTTTAATTATCTTTTTCTTTTTGATTCTCTGATTGAGTGATTAATCTGCTGCATGTTCCTTCCACTGTGTTCTTTATTAATGCCACATCATTCATCATAGTTACTATATCTTTTCTCATTCTGTTGAACATCTTTGCCATCATTCTGAATTCTGTGTCTGACCAATTTCTTATCTCTGTGAATTCTGTGTCTGACCAATTTCTTATCTCTGTGTTATTTAGTGCTTTTGTAGAATTCCCTTGTTCTTTCATTTGGGACTTTTTTTTTTTCTTTTTTTTTTTTTTTTTCTTTTTTTTTTCTTTTGTCTCCTCATTTTGGCTTACCTGTTGGGGTTTGTGTCTGTGTATTAGGTAGATCTGCTATGCCTCCCAATACCTGGTTCAGAACAGTGTCAGATGTTGTTTGTGACTCACCCTGTGTTCCCTGATTGGAGTTATCAGCAATCCACAGCTTGTGGCTTCCTCTCCTGGGGCTGTATGC